AGCCTGCTGCTGGCAGGGGCTGTGCTCCCATGGAGGGCACAAGACAGCTTGGTGCCTTGAGGATTTTACAACCTTTGTTCATCTGAATCGACCTGGTTTTTTATGCCACTCAACAGGAGACTTTGTTTACTTCAGTGTGCCTGGCCACTGGAGGTGGATGGCTGGCTGATGGAAGTGAGGAAATAGATGGGAGGAGGAAAACATTTTTCTCCTGGGCTGTTTTTATGTGTAATGTAGCCTAGGGATTAACAACACAGGAGAGAGTGAAGAAACCCTGCAGAGCCTGGGTCAGAAAACAGGATGTTCATGGAAAGAAAATGCTTTTAACTTGCTGCATCAAAGACCCACCATTTCGGGGCATGCTCTACATTGGAATACATCTGCATTCCCCCAGAACTCTGTGTGTGTGACTGCATGTGTATGTGGTATAGAACTAAATGTAAGTGTATATTTGCACATTTACAATCTCAAAGGCACTAATGGCCACCTTGGAATAGCTCAGCAGTTTGCTGGGCTTAGTGGAGTTTGGTATGAACTTTGCTGGTTACCCAGGACTGGATGGGCATGGACAGTGCACTTCCTCTCTACTCACAACTCCCCACTCTGCTTTTGTCCCTTTTTTCTCAGAGAAGTATCTTGAGATGTCCTCAGTTGTGTTGGTCATCTCTGGATAGGTGGTAGTCAGGCGGTTTTGTGTGCTGTGATGTAAAAGCCTGCTTTGAATGTATATGTGATGTTGCTCACTGTAGGGCAGTGCTGCACAGGGTTCCTTGGCCTCATTTAGACCCATGAGCTGAAAACTTCCAGTTGTTGGGCTTTGATGATTGAAACTACAGCCAGGAGGAGCAAAGGCAAAAAGCCCTCGGGCTCCAAAGCGCAGGTCTGCAGCTGAAGCCTGCCTTGAACTGATAAACAAAAAGACCTTCTGGCTTCTGACTTGAAGCCTACCTTCGTGTTGTTATCGATGTCTGCTGGAGTGCTGTATTTGCTGTCTGAGGCAGTGGCTGTGCTGGGTAGTCTCCACTGCATTCCTCACAGCGTTACCTCTGGCAGGTAGGAGGGTGAAGGTGAGCAGGAGTTTCCAGAGCATGTGGCTGTGTGTTTGAACAGGGTTGTATCCATTTCTGTCACTACCGTGAAGGATGGAGGTTGGAAGTAGTCAGCAGCTTCTGTAAGCACTTAACATTCCTGATTTCCTTTGTCTTTGATCTCACTTGGACTAATTTTACTCTCTTCTGATCCTTTCCCTTGAAGGGGCTTTTATCTCATTGTCAGGCTTGCTAATTTAGTGCAGTGTTTTGAACCAGACCTCCTCCTACGTTTCGAGAGCCTAGAAGGTATTTTTTTCGTTAATCAGGCAGCGTTTATACAGTTCTTTGAACATCTTAGGACAGGAGTTGCAGTGGGGCTTTTTGCAGCGCAAGTCCGGGTCCTGGGACCCACTGCTCCAACCTCTGTTTGTGCAAATGGCCTGTCCCCAGAAACCTGCAGTATTTTGGGGCCAAAGGGGCAGGAAGGAGCTGGATGATTTGGGACAAGTCAAGCAGCCTGATGTCACTTGGGGGCTTCATCTGCCCGGCTGGAAGCCTTCCCAAGCTGCGTTAAGTGGCAGACAGCAATGGGTTTTCACATGTTATTGACCTTGTTGTGGGCTTCTGCCAGGTGCTGGGTTTGAGCCCTTGGGATTGTAAGGACATGTGGTCTAGAAACATTTCTGGTGCTTCTGGAATAAAGAGTGGTGGTTTGAGTGTGGTTACGAGCTGTCACCATGGTGTGGAGCCTTCATTTCTTGGCGATGCAGTAGATTCTTGCAAGTAGAAACCTACTGATACCCTGGAGGTTGGCTGCTTGTAAATGGTTTCTGCTGTTACTGGGTGGATTATGTGGTTGGAACAGGTTTCCAAGAACAGAGTAATTTGCTCTTTATAGATGTGCAATTGTGTTTATTGGTCTGAAGGTATGAAAGAAGGCAACCACCTCTTGTCAATAACCAGGAAGGTGGTATTGTTATGACCAGCTCAGTGAGTGCAGCAAGTATTGATAATAGAAACAGACCATGCTGGTTGCTGGAGCATCCTTTGCTCCTGGTGTTAATATGTTCTTTGGTGAGCATGCTTCTTGGCCTGTGAGGTCCAGACTTCAAATGCATTTCTCTCCAACAGTCATTTCTCCTCTCTTTGTATAGCAGAGACAGATCTGCTTGGTTTGGTGAGGGTGAGTTCTGCAGTCCAGCACTGTGTTTTATAACTGACTCTTTTTTCTCTAACATACCATCCAGAAGCTTAGATCCAGGTAGGTTTTGACTTCAGGGTGATATTTAGGGATACAGAAACATCATCACATGTTTTAAAAACCCAAATACTTCTGCTGTGATGCAAAGTCTGGAGCTGCCTGTTCTTACCCTGCTGCAAGTTGGTTGAGTTGATTTTTAAGGGGTTGAAGTTTGGGAGGCTGATAATTGCTTCTCAGCGACCTGTGCTGGCGTGGGAAGCTGCACTGCAGATCCCTGCTCTATTCCTGGCTGCCTGAGCCAGCCAGCTGGCCCCTCGCGCTTCACCTTTTCAAGAGGAGGAGTATTTTCAGCAGAATGGCATTTTAATTGCTGTCTGAAGAAAATAGAAAATAGGACAGTTATATGGGCTGATTCCCCAAGCGAGGAACAGGAGTGGCTGGCACAGAGCAGGAGCACGTAGAGAAGATGACAGCAGGAGGACAGCCATGGTGTGGTGGCAGAGGGCAGCGTGGGATGCTCAGCATGCAGAGCCAACAGACTCCACACCACTGTGCCCACCCAGCCCTGCTGCCTTGTGGACGGGTCAGCAGTGAAATGGGTTAAGTGTAGGTGCAGGCAGCATTGGTCCCATAACGCTGGTGCTGCACAAGAACTGTCTGAGATGTGTCACTGCTGAGAGTGATGTGTAAAGGGGAAAGATGCAAAGAGAAAGCTGGAGCCATTGGGTACGGGAACTGGCCTGTGGCCTGAGTTAATTCCTTGTCTCCTCATGCTTCTAAAGACAACAAATTTAAGGAAAAGCAAAGGATTAAGACTTTAGCCAACAAAGTTTAACATCTTCTTAAGTAAGCTCTGCATCACATGCCTTTGCCTTCGCAGCCCTACCTCCCCGGAGGTGGTGTTCACACACAGGCTGACTAAGCCCTGTGTGACATGCTGCCAGGAGCAGCTGCTATGGGTAGGTCCCGTCAGAGAAGTGTCTGGGTTGCTGCTCCTCTCTGGATGGGGGCTCTCACAACAGCAGTGTGGCTCTAGCTCTGAGTAAGCCTCCTGTCCTTACCCCAGCCCCAGACTGTGAACCCTCTCCTGTGTTTGCCCATGTCACCTTCCACACACGCATTTGGTGCTGTTGCATTAGCGTAGTGTGAAAAGCATCTCTGCATCCTGCCGGATGGGGACAGGGAGATTGTCCCCTGGATGTCCTAACAAAGGTGACTTGGGGCAGGGTCTGTTCTGTCCCATAATGCTAGCAATCAACAAGCAGCAGATGAGTCAGGTTCTTGTGTAGCTTCCTCATCACTGAAGGGCATAGCAGGCCAGCATGAAGTTCTAGATGCTCATTCTGCAAGCCAGCAATGACAGCAAACCTGACAAGCTCCCGTCCTTGGAATGAGCACAGAACCAGCCCACATGTGGACAGGGTCAGGTCCTTTAGGTCCTTCTTTCAGGGGCACCTGCAGTTTCCAGCACACGCCTTGGAATAAGTCCATCTCCTGCATGTGTAATTTTGCGTGTCATTGCCCCTAACTGCATGCTTAACACACTCTCCTTCACATACAGCCCTTTTATCAGCAGTAGGTAGTAGCAGGTTTAATAGGGTGTTTGAATTCCTATAAAATTAATCTGTAGCTTTCTGCGATAGGAGACGGGCAGGGAGCCATGTGGTTCATATCCAGTGTTGATAAACTTGTTATAGAGGCAGGAAACATTTCTGATTGGAGCAATGACAAAATAATTTGGAGCAGAGCCATAAAAAGAGTGGATGGTGATGGTTTGAGCACAGCAGAGATTGAAATTGCTGGTGTGTGGAAGCAGCGCTGCCAGCTAACATTGACTTAGTGTCTCTGGAGAACTCTAACAGCAAATGCATTTTATTAATGGCAATATTCTTTTAGGAAATGCTGAGCATTGTTTCAGAGGTGGAGCTCCCCTCGAGTACGTGGCTTTGGAGATCAGCCAGACCAAGACCTGTTCAGCTCAGCTTGCTGCTGGCCACTGCTCTGGCCTCCCGCTGCAGCAGGCAGGTTGCTTAAGGGCATGTTCTGGGTACTGTCTGCTTGCAGCTGGAATATCCTTTTCTAGTGGGGAAAGTGGATCATCCATTCTCATTCTGGACTCACTTATTTGGGATAAAACACTCGGAGACATGGTTTTATCCATTCTTTTGCTGTCTTCCCTTTGAAATGAGTTTCCCAGTTCATTAACGTTGGGAGACACTGTCTTTCTGGATTCCCAGCTGGGTTCAAGCTCTTACTTCCCCTGAGGAAGAACTACTCCAACCAAGTTGTGATCAGTGGTATTGGGGTACCAAATAAGTTGCCTTGTGGGTGTTGATCAGCCTTGGAGGAGGCTCTGGTATGCAGACACCTGAGGGGGAGCCCTCACTTGTCAGAGGCAGCCATGGCACTTTGGGGCCTTTACTGCATCTTCTGTGCTTGCTCTTGCTGTTGCCATCACTTCACCTTTTTCTAGTTGTTCTTCTCTGCTTGAATCCAGCATGGAAAAAGCAATTGTGGACAGAAGGGGCGGCTGCTGGGCACAGTGTGAGGTGGCAGAAATGGTGTGGGTTGTGCAGCCCTAGGGATGTGTGATGGAGATTGCAGTCCACACTCATGGGAGATGCTGGTCACCTAGCAGGGCTGAATTTCACCTGTTATCTCCATCCATACTCCTGGAGAACAATTCTTCCCTCACTGTAAAACCTTAAACTGGGATGTGATTAATCACAGGAAGCAACCTGCACTGTAACACTGTCTTTCCTTTGCAGGGAGGCTGTTGGAAGGGGATTCTCTGGAGCTGAGCTGTAGTGCTGGTCCTGCAAAGGTGATACTGGAGCCAAACCAAGTCGTGGTTTTGGACTGTAACCTGGCCCCTGCGGAGCAGGTGATCAATATCACATGGAAGAAGAATGGGTTTCCATTAGTGGAGCAGGAACATCTGCACGTGCTTCCGAATGGATCACTCTTCATCTCATCCCAGGCTGCAGCAAAGGACAGTAAATACCCCGAGAAGACTGGTGCTGAGGGTAATTACTCCTGCGTGTCTCAGAGCTCCCTCGGGGCTGTCACCAGTCAAACAGCTGCAGTCAGATTTTCAAGTAAGTGTTGGGGTTTTTTGTTGATTTTCTTTTTTCACCCTCCTGGTATCTGTACAGACCATCTGCCTCCCACAGAGTCTGGGACAAAGTGAGCACTGCCTGAAGCTAAGGGGCTTGGTGATGGGGAGGTGGCTGGGAGAAGCACCCCTTGCTTTTCCTCTGCATGAGGTACCTGTATATGGTGTGTGCAGTAATGCATCCGCATTACTTGTGTGGGGACAGCTGGGAGGACTGGCTTTGGCCATGCACATCAGCTCAGCCGCCTGCAGGTCACCCTTGGTCTCTTCTGGGTTCCCTGGTGAACAGTCAGCACAGTTTGGGGAGGAATGTGGAAGGGTTTGGGGGTCAATGCTGAGCAAGGAGTGCTGAGACCAGGGCAGAGCTAAGCAGCTGTAGCTTCCACTGTAGCTGGTGAATGCAGTAGGTGTCAGTTTTGCTAAGGCAGAATGTACCCCATATCAGCATGGTGCCAACCTCTGAACTCCAGGGGGAACTCCAGATGGTGAGAGCAGGGCGGAGGCTGGGACAGGCAGCTGTCTACATGACAAAGAGTCTGTCAGAACTGTCTTGTGAGGTGAATATTGCTTTATAATGGAAGAGATGAAAGAAAGGGCTATTCAGGCTGTTTTCATTCCGATCTCTGAGAACAACACTCCAAGAGCTGAACTGTGCAGCCTTCAAGAATAGAATTCCTTTGTATCCAGGAATGGCTCCTGGAGCTATTTTAAGCGTGAGAGTGCCAATACATGATTCCCTCACCTACCAAACAGGTGAGGTTAGAAAATAATGCAAACACAGTAACACTTCTCTCTAGTACAGTGACTTACGGAAGTGTTGATGAGGTGCTTCTGCACTTACTCAGAGCTGTGGCAGGTGAAGATGCAGAGTGGATGCCCCAACACACACTTTACGCTGTGATGTATTTAGCCTCTGGTACCACAGGCAGCAGTTCCATGTTTGGCCAAGCGTGTGTCTGTGAGCACAGTGCTGCAGAATCCAGCGCTCCTGATGACAGGTGAAGCTTTTGCCAGGCTATGTTTGACATGCAGCACCCACAGATTGCTGGTCACCCATCCCTCCTGTCCCCTCCTTTCAGTGGTTTGTAGTGCCAGATAAATAGCTGGTTCCAGTATTTCTTTAAGTGAAGGGACCCCTGGGGGCTCTGAAGATGGAGGCAGGATCCTGCACACAGATACTGTTTGGGGAGGTGGGAGACCTGGACTAGAAAAGGTGTCATTAATCCAGGAGGATTTATTTGGCTGCTCCATCCCCAATCCCAGCCACCCTGAATTAGGATATATTCCCTTTTGTGTTAGAGCTTGCTCTGTATTCACCATTTCAGGTGAACTCTCTCCTTGTGCTGCTCATATGTCTCCTTTTATTACCATCAGCAGAGGGAAAGCGCTGCTTCTGTGGCACACGCATGCACCTCACACAACACGCTCATTTCTGAATGGAGAGCAGCGAGGGAATTGGTTAATGAAATGCATCTCACTTCGATTTGTTCTGTGGGGTGGGCAGGAGCACTCACGGTATTAGCATTCAGCTGCTGCAAATGGGGATTGGAGAGGCCTGGGTTTTTTTTCCTCCTGCTGCTGAATACAGTATCCAAAGCTGTTTACTGGAGTCACTCTTTGTGCTGATTGCCCTGGGCGCTGCTGAACTGGGGGCAGTAGAAGAAAACCTGTTAAGCAGGTG